AAGTTCAAGGCAAAAAAAATATGTAAAATTAACATGTAAGAAAATCAACAAATAGAGTGAAAATTAACTGAATCTATAACAGACTTATTGTTCTCTCACTGGTTTAAAATAATTATTTGGTTAGGACAAAATGCATGATGTATAAACCCTGTTGAGTACCCTGTTAAAGAAAGTAATAAAAGTTAGCAGCCATCAGTTTAGATTTTCTCAAATTACTGAAACAGATACGATCAAATATACAGTGGTTAAGGAGATTGTAAGCATGCTCTGGAAAATATGAAATGATAATGAAAATGACAATGAGAATGAAAATGAGAGACAACGAAAAGGAAAAAAAACGTATCAGCCAGAAGGCGAGTGGCACCAATTCACACAGGTTGAGCTAATCCGTATTGATTTACAGCATGAGACAGCAGCAGTTGTGGGAAATTGGGACATTGGTGGGGGACATGAAACATGAGGATTATCAATCTATTGTTCACTCATGAGAAAGCAGAACAAAGAGATTTCCACACTGATCTGCCTATTCACTTACAGAGCCTGAGGACTGGACACAGAGCAAGGAAAAATCTTCATGCCCTAAAGTTAACTGGAGCTCTTTTTGTGCTCCAGAACATGAACTTGAAAACCTGTTCCAGTTTTTTTTTTTTTTTTTTCTAAGAAGAAGAATAAAGGACTATGGTTAACTATTATAAGCTACACGTAATGATAAAGGAAAAATATATAATACAATGGCAAAAAAAAAGCTAAACTACAGCACAGCATTTGTAAAGCAACACTGTCAAGTGGCATCGGACATTGTTTCAGGGAAAGGCAGCAATGTAGGCTATTGTAAATGTAAATGTAAGAGGTAAGAAAATAGTAGTTATAAAAGCATCTTAACGAGATGTGAGTGTGTTTGCAGTAGCAAAAACTTTTTCCAAAATCCAAACAATTTTTTTTTACATGATTTAGTTTGAAATGACATAACACCAGATAAAAATATCATGGTACAGGCAGCAAAGTAAATTAGGATCCATTTGTTTGCCTATTCAAAACCACGCCATGGCACTACAAACATACTAATGTCCACAGAAAGCAAAAAAATGCACCAGTACAGAGAGAATAGCACAAGTTTATACAATTGAGATTCAATGTCAGTCTCTAGGTCAGTCAAGGTCAATGGTCTTAATCCTACAGACTACTAGTCTGCTCAAAGCAGAACTGTTATGACTTAGCTCAGCAGTTTAAGGACATAGGCTTTACTACTTCTAAAAAATTCAGTGATGTTGCTCTAATTTGACCATTATAGGAACACAGTGTTCGACCGCATCTTTATGCAGATTTAGTTTGTCACTCTATTTTTAAAAATAAGAGTGATAAATAATAACTTAGTCACTTTTGTCAGACAGCTAGATGATATGTCTAAATGACATTAAATGACTAAGTATTCCACAACAGAAGGCATTTACAACAATGAGAAGAGGAACAGCCTGTGCTGACAACTTCATCCTATGCTCAGACACAGGAAATTGGAAATTAATTTTTTAAGCAGTGCAGCCACTGAAAGATATTGCTAAGGCAGATTTTTAAAAGATTCATAACATGGGCTTTCTGTATCTAGGTTAAACTTACAGAGTCTAAAACTACAGAAGTAAAGAAAATAAAGCAAATTCAGCTATTTCTTTTTAGATTGGGAATATTTATATTTGATTGAAAATTAACCAAATGCAACTACATTTAACATGTAGATTGATAACAGGTTTATTTGCATGATAAAAAAACAGTAAATTAACCCATTTATAGTGTCATTTGTCCTGCTTTTAAACACTGACAGCTCATAAATTTAGTGAATGCAGCATCATACATACTACAAATGACCTTCCAAGAAAGATAAAATGTGAGAGAATGAGGGAATGGATAAAGAAGGAATGCCCTTGGTAGTAGTTTGGAGAGGGGAAGGGATTCATTGCCCTAATGGAAGTTTTATGTCAAGATGCATCAAGCTGGCGCCCCAGGACATCAGATTTAATTTGGCTGGAGGGTGAAAACAAATCCCATTATGCAAATGTTGCTTCTTACATCTAAGATTTTAAGATCTGGATAATGGATTTATCTTTTGTGCATATTTATATATGTATATGAAATCTACTCAAACAGTATATTTAAACAATTGTAGATGATAGCTACATATTTGTGCCTTACACATCTCTGAAGGATGCATATTAGAAATGCACATTTTTATGGGTAATATACCAAAATGTACCTTTAGCCTTTAGCCACAGTTTTGAAAGTTTGCAAATTTCATTGGACAGGTTATGTCTAGCTTCATGCATGTTTCAATGCGTTTGCAAGCCGTGTGCTGCAGTGGGCAGCAGAGTTCAGCTGGAGTGCAGAACAAAGCACATGCACACACGTTTGCCCTCTGCTGTCTGATAGAAGGAATGCAAGCTGAGCTCATCTCTTGTCAACGTGGCTGAGTCATCCTGCTCTCTCTCCAAACACTGTACAGCCTCAGAGAGGTATAGAAACTTTTACAACAATGTACACAATGTGAAATGAGTCACGCACTATGGCAACACCTTATCTGAAAGCAACAGAGAGATTTTCGTGCATATTCAAGAATGAAATAATGACATAAATGAGTATTTCTCAATGACCAGGCCACGATCTCAGCACGTGATCAAGAGGGACACTTTCAAGACTTATTTATAAATAAGAATGACAATACACTTTGATTGGAGCCATGATATAATCTAAACTCACATTATTATTTAGTTACATTTGATTCCTGCCTTTTTATTTGATTGACTGACCTTTTATTCAACTTACACTTCACATGATAAGGCTTTTCATGAAAATTCTTTACATTTAGTATTTTTTAAACGTGTTAATTCTAGGCCTGGAAAAGTGACAGGAGTTATTCCAATATTTTGCCATGCATGCAGTTTGAGAGTTACAAACAGAAAAATTGGAAAAATGTTGTTTAAATTCATTGGTGATCATCTTATTTTATGGATTTTTTATTTAATAAATGACATTGTATTTCTATATTTTAGAGTTCTGAAAACAACCAGCACTGTCATTTTAGAAGAAGTCTGACCTTGGACTCAAAAAATATTCTACCATGTAGAAACTCGTGTCTAATAAGCATACTTTTCAAGATGAAGCTTTAGTTTAGCCAGTAAAATCATCTTGAGAACAGGTGATTTAGAACTAGGTAAAATATTGTCCTCTGAAAAAGTCTAGAATTATTTGTTGAACGATGGCTTAGGGTTTGATAGTTGATCAAATAACATTTAAATATTTTCAGCATGTCACAAAGTTATATTAGGTGCTCTGTAATGAGTGCATAAAGTGTGTTAAAGATGCTTACAATGCCGGTTGCCTTCACTCTTTATGACAAATGAATTTCTCCCTAAATTTACTGGGGAAACACAAGGTGTACTAATGTACCCGGAGTACAGTACTGTACACACTGTACAACCTGTGTCCTACAAATCCCTCGGGATCGTCACTGCTATTATTATCAGCACAGTCACCAAATCCCAGATACAAAGTGAAAATATTGATGCTGTGTCAACAATTAAAATAAATCTAATCGATATTCATAAACTCTCATTGATGTGATAATTAAAAACAGACTATAGCGCATCTGAAAGCAGCCTCATGCCCAAAAACAAGTTGTGTTCTTCAACTATTTATTTTAAACTCTAATAGTACTGTACAATAACCACAAAGCACTCAATTAGAAGTAAACAACATCTCTAAACTTTCATCCTCACAATCTCTAACTAAAGACAGACATATACTATATAACACGGTTAGCATGATGGTTAATTATCATTTCTTACCTTGCTGAAGGCTCAGAGTGCTGGAGCTGTTGGACTGGAGGAGGCAGTGGGAAGTCAGGGGAAATCTGGGGTAGATCGGAGGGATCAGGAGCAGGAGGAAAGGTCTGAGGCTCGGCGGGAGCCCTGTCTGGAGGGGTAGGGGGCGGTGTGGGGAACTCGAGTGTGTCCTGGAGAAGGTGTGCAGGGAGGGCAGGAGCAAAGCTGTGCTGTGGTGGGAGTGATGAGGGAGAGGGAACAGGCTCACTCCACTCTGCAGCTTCTAACAGAGGAGACCTGCACGACACAAATAGTAGGGCTTTTCACATATTCACACTAAAAAAACATTGTTTTAAACCCTAGGGAAATTAAATCTTATGTTGTATAATTTTCACACTGCTCATAATGAACCCAGAATTACCCTGGGTTAAGATCCTTTTTTTGCCTATTTGCAGTGTCAATGCCATTGATGAGATGAACACAGCATGTTTACACTTGCTTACATAAAGGCTGCAACATTGCCAACTGCTACAGTACCATATTTTTGTATCCTGAATGAACTTTTTGGACTATAAAAGGTAAGAATGAAAACAATTGCTTCTTGATGCACATATTGTCACTATCTGATGCTCTTTTTTACACATTTGGTATTTCAAAAGATTACAAAATCTCCAGAGCAGATAGAATTTTATATATTAAATTAATCATTTCTTTATCAGGGTTACAGTTTTAAAATGGTATGAATAGTTCTTATACAACCCCAAATCAGGAAAAGTTGAGACAAAATGGAAAACGCAAACAAAAAGTAGTAATTTCTAAATGTACTTTGACTTGTATTTCATTGCAGACACTATGAACACAAAATATTTCATGTTTGTAAGGCTAACTTCATTTCATGTGTAAATATTCATCCTTTCCTGTCATTCAGACCTGCGACACATTCAAACAAAAAGTTGGGACAGGGGCAATTTAGAGCAAGTAATTAGGTAAATTGGTTAATTAATGATGTGATTTGAAACAGGTCATGTGAACAGGTGATTGTAACTATGATTTGGTGCAAGAGCATCATTCAAGAAAGGTCTAGTTCTTTAAGAGCAAAAATGGACAGAGGATTACCAGTTTGCCAACAAATACGTAAGACAATTACTGAACTATTTAAAACAATGTTCCTCAAAGATAAATAGAAAGACATTTTGATATTTTCAAGTTTTTTAATTGAGCAACAGTGTTAACCACTGGGCTGCTGTGCCACCCAATCAGAAAAGGGGTGGAAGGGGGGATTCTTCAAGACAAAGATAACTGCTGCGGAAAACTCTGTTTTTTTTATAGTGCGTCAGTATAATTTTTTATAGTGCGTTCATCTGATTGGTGCGAAATACGGAGCTGATGTGGTGCCAGCTGTGATCCTCTCTAAATTAGTTTATAAATAAACTGCACCTCTTGTTTAAATACACTTTGAACAGCAGCTACGCTAATTATTTTCTTTATTCTCTTTTCCACCCGGGGATACTCATCCCGAGGCCTCTGGAGATTATGCAGCACCATTGATGCGATCCAAGGTATCCATAAACCATTGCAATATGTATCTATATGGAGTTTCACATAATCATACTCATTAGGGCTGTAACATGCCATTGCATAAATTTAATTCAGCAATACGGTTGTATTATTGTTAATATGTTCGTCAGTTGAAATGTTTGGCACAGATGTTATGTATTTGATGCATATCAACCTTGATTAAAACATAATCAGGCCGCGATAGTGCAGCTCAACTAGCGCATGCGCACTGAGTTGTTCATGATTAAGCTGGATGCACGTGAAGACCCCCTCCCACCTAGTCAAACCTGCAGTTTTTCACGATTGATGTCCAGTGTTCTCCAGCCTCCGCCGCCTAAACTGCAGCTCTGCACAGGAAGTTTGGCCAGAGGAGAAATTGTTGTGACCAAAACTGAGCCTGGTATCTGGTTTGTTCTATGCCACTGTCGCCACTGGCTTGCTTGCTTTGAGACTTGTGGAGCTGTGCATCGATGGATTTGCTCTTGAGTGTTTGGACTTTCAGCAATGAAATTTAAACCACACTGAACTGAACTAAACTAAACTGAACTTTAACTCTGAAAACTGGACTGACACTAATTTAATTTACTAGAACTTCTATGTTAAGCTGTTTGACACAATCTACATTGTAAAAGTGCTATAGAAATAAACATAAATTAAATTTTAAAAAATCAAATATAGGTAGTTCTTTTCAGCTTCATTTAATAAAAACAATGAAATAATGGTTGCTGAAAGTTTACTTGTTTTACTGTAATTTTAGTGAAACTTATGCAATCACTGAAACTCTATCAAAAACATTTTAAAAAAGAATGGTAGTGTATTGTTTTTTTCCTCTGGATTATAAATCAATCAGTTTATTCACTAATGGACCACATGTACTTATAAGACTCCTGTCAAATCACCCTAATGTGCTCAGGCAAAAAAAAATGCAATAGCTGAGCAATACCACAGACAAAACCTGACCCTACAGACATAGCAGCAGACAGTCCTTCAGCTGCTCCTATCGAGGGGTGTGCCTCCTGTCACAGACTAAAAATACAACTCACTCCACCACAGCCTAAACAACTGCAAATAGCACTGTTATCCTATAAGGAACAGTTGCAGATAGTCAGCTGAACTGCTCTCTAATCAGCCCTATGCACGCATCAAAGTACTACCATCCTTTTCTTCATTTGCTCCAGCCGGATAGTGGGAGACTGCATGTTAAACATAACCACAAACCACAACTTCAATGTACACACCAAGATTTCTAATGCGAAGAGCACAAACACACAATCTAATCTCCAAAGACCAGCTGTATCCATAGGAATTGGTCCAGACAGGATTTTTAATAGCAAACAGACTGCAGTAAATAAAGGCAGCAGGGGGGAGCTACAAGTCATTAAAAATAACAACGTCACTACTGTTAGCATACAGCCTTTTCACAGTCCTTTATATGCATATACATCAAACTGTCTGAAAGAACTCTATAAGTCATAATAAGACAAGAACAGCGTGGGTACAGGGTTGTCACACTGTTCTCCTTCATTAATCACATTAAGTCAAATTGTCTAGTTTTATAATGTTAAATGGTTAAAAGAGCTCCTTTTCAAGCCTCTCTAAAATAATTGTTCCATTAACTCAAAATAATTGCTATGGCTGACATTTGTTGCCATGGTAACTGTTGCCTAGCTCTTGTCATGCATAACAAGGTTTCCAAGCCTGTGTCTCTCTCCCTCTCTCTCTCTTGCTATCTCTCCTGGGAGCCTTAGCATCCACAGAGTTTCATTCATTCACTGCAGTTGTAAAATTACAATGGATTTAAAATAAGCTGAACACTGAAATGTGGAACTAGCAATCTAAATAAATAGTGTGGAAATTACACATTCTGGTGACCTAAATAAATGAGGGAAATTTGGCAATGGACCCTTTTCACATTTCCGGGTTTCTCAGTAGCAGAAGACATCATGGCTGAGTGAACCTAGAGCTCAGTGAATGGGAGACTACAACAGATATTTCTTTTACAATCCTATTTGCTGAAATAATAAAAGAAAAACTCCAACATGGTGTTATCAAGACTTTCAGAAAAAGAAGAAAGATGTGAGAGACTGATAACCGCAGCCAGAAGTTAAAGTCAAAATTACTCTCAGCCCTATAGACACTGCATTAGAAACACCTCACATAGGCGGTAATTCGCTTTTTGTAACTTGACGCAAAGATGATATTCATAAATACATTCATATATATACAGTTGAAGTCGGATTTATTAAACCCCCCAAAGTATTAGCCACCCTGTTTATTTTTTCCTCCAAATTCAGTTTAGGGAAGAGATTTTTTCAACGCATTTCTAAACATAATAGTTTTAAGGCTTAACTAGGTTAATTAGGTTAACTAGGCAGGTTAGGGTAATTAGGCAAGCTATTGTATAATAATGGTTTGTTATGTTGACTATATTTAAAAATACAGCTTAAAGGTGCTAATAATTTTAACCTAAAAATGCTTGTTAAAAAATTTACTCCTTTTATTCTATCTGAAATAAAACAAATAATACTTTCTCCAGAAGAAAATATTATCAGACATACAGTGAAAATTTCCTTTCTTTGTTTAACATAATTTGGGAAATATTTAAAGAAGAAGAAAAAATTCAAAGGGGGGATACTAATTCTGACTTCAACTGTAAATGTTCATGTTTTTTTTTTTTTTTGTTTTTATAAAAAAAATGTTAACCTTTCAAGGATTTAAGATTATGCTGACCATTAAACGTGTCAACAGTCGAAAGCTGTCATATGTAACCCACTATTGGTAACACTGAGGTAGCCACTAGAAAAACTAGCATGAGCTCTCAGCTCTCGTTTTCACATAAACTTGTGTAAATTAAAAAGCTAACATATGTCACAGTGCTACCTTTTTCATTTACATCAGTTTACGTTGAGAGGTCATCCTAATTTTAAAGGCGGGACTACCAAAAAATAAACAAGTTGTCTGGCTCCTTTAATGGGTAACATAAAAGTTTTAGTGAAATAGTGGCTACTCAGTATTTTATTAAAATCATATGGTTGTCTTAACAAGATCATTTCAGCTTACAGTGGTGGAAAGTTGGTAGTTAACCTAAAACATCTGACTAACTTTCCGGCTTTACTGTGCACTGTAATTAATTTATGTACAAACCCTCAGAAGCCAAATTATTCAAAATACCATCTCTAGACATTCCAAAATTAAATAAGCTCACATGCTGCCACGAACCCTATTACAGCATTTACATTAAAGCAGATTTAGCACAAAGACAAAAGGCGTTTACAGATGTTTACTACACCATGAGCAAAAGTATCTTAACTGCACCTATAAAGTCCTGTAATCTACTTCATTCCTTACAAAAACATAATTTAACCTTCTGTCAGCACAGAGCAAATCATTATCATCAAGCGGCTGATGCTGTCAAAACAAACAAAACATGAGCAACCTGACAAATTTTGAAAGACAGAGAGATAGAATTTACAACACACTTCCCTTTTTCTCTCTCTGTCCTCCTACTGTCCCACCCCCATCCGTGCAGTGACATCATCACAAACCATCTGTAATTAACAAACCATCTCCAAACAGCCACAAGGTTATATTTTCCAGCAACTTACACAATTAGTCAAATCAAAAGAGAAAAACATCATGTTAAATAGCAAAGGTATAAAACTCACCCGACATTTGTACCCAGAGTAAAGTGTTACTATTCTTTTATGCAAGCCACTGATATCTATCTATCTATCTATCTATCTATCTGTCTATCTGTCTATCTATCTATCTATCTTCACTCACTGTAATATTCCCAACCAGAGCTGCCCTGAACTATGGCTTTTGTTCCAGACTGACAGACCTCTTGGTATGACCTCATGTGAGGGCGTTGGTGCAAATAGCAAACACATATGCATGCTTAAGCAAGACACGTGCATGCACACACACATACTGACAGATACAGGCGAAATTCCTTTAGTCCACATCTGTGGAGAGACACAAAATGTGTGGTGCTCAAGGATTACAGGGCAAATACATAGAGAGAAAGTTTCCCTTTCTTCTGTCCTCTAAATCTCACTCCTTATCACTTTGTGCACTACTCTCTCTTTGCTTTAATCTTTGTTTCCCTCTGGCTCTGGCATGTCGCTCTAAATGAGGTGCTAGGCTAAAACCTCTGACTGACAAGCACCAAGTGTTCAACTTTCATATGTTGTGGCTGCTGCAATAGAGCAGATATAGACTAAAGAGGGGGAGTGGGAAGTAATGGCAAAATGAGAAAGCAAAAACTAATCTAAAAAAGAACCCTAAATGGCACCAAGTGTGCATTGCAATGCATAACAAAAATAAACCTGTGTTTTACAATACACCAAACAGGCATTTCAAGACCCACCCAATGATATGGCAATTTAGGGTGAAAAAAAACAGATAAAATCCATTAGACAGTTTCAAATATATCTAGGCAAACATAAAAAAAAACATAAAAAACAGATGCCCCCAACTGTTTCATGATAATTGTATATTTATATTGGCTATAACAGATTGTTATTGCTATTATTGCATTTAATATAGTTAAAAACAGTCAAAATTCACAAATAATTTATTTGTTGTTAATAGCAGAAAATCAAGAATATGATAAATCATTTATCATTTCATTCATTTAAATCAAATAAATGTAAATCAAAGGCGGCAACCTTTGTCTGATGAAGAGCCGAGTGGCTCGAAACGTTACACGCTCTGTGTCAACATTTTTAATTTAATAAATTTGTATTTTTGGAGCCTTGGTGTTGCCGCCTTTGATTGACATTTATTTGCACTTTTTGCGGTTTTGGCTGAGCACCCAATTTAGAGAGATGTTCGTGCTTTTGTACAGTTTATTCATTTAAATCAAAACATCTAAACGTAGACTATTTAGGACTCACCTGCAGTCTGATGCTTCTTCTGGTTGCTCAGTTACAAGGGGAAAACTCTCCTCAGGTGCAGGGGGAAAAATCTCCTCAGGTACAGGTGGAAAACTCTCTTCAGGTGGAGGTGGAAAGTTGTCCTCTGGAGCAGGAGGGAAAGTGTCCTCAGAAGCAAGGGGGAAACTCTCCACAGGACCAGGGGGGAAACTATCCTCAGGAGCTGGGGGGAAAGTCTCCTCAGGACCAGGGGGGAAACTCTCCTCAGGAGCAGGGGGTAAAAACTCCCCTGTTGGGGTTCGGAATTCTAGCTCTGCCTGAGGCGAACCGAAGCTCTCAAATGGTCTGGAAAGACAAATAAATAGAAAAAGCAGATGAACAAATTATGCTTACTGTCTGTTTCAGTGCAAATGCCATATAGCTGGTATTCATGTAAGTGTATGTGGTGCCCTCAAACATAAGAAGCCCAGTGTGTGTTTGTGAGTGGGTATGAAAGGATTCTTTCTTGGCCCAAAGGGCACGAGTTGATGTCACTGTTGAGGTCACTCTCAGGAGATAATGGGCTGTCTTACTTGTACTTGGCTCCATTTTAACTCAAAATGACATTTGAGCATATAATATACTTTTTTACACACACACCTACATTCAAGGTTTTTTACACACACACCTACATTCATACAGTCCAGGTTTAGTGAGAAACTGTTCTAAGTAAATGTGAATTCAATATGCATCTGTGTGTATCAGTGAAAGCCTCTACAGTTTCCCTCAATCACTTTCATTAAAAAAAAATACAACACATCCGTATGAAAAGTACCTGTTGTCTGTAGATCCACATGTAGTCTCGTCTTTGTGCTCTGGAATGACCTGAGACATGGAGGCTGCCTCCTTTAGAACTCTGAGCCAATCAGACCCTTCAGAAGAGTTGACTTTATTTGACCTCTCAGGCACAAAGTTTGCACTGTCTGTACTGTCTGTCTGGGTGTCTGTACTGTCTTTAACCTGCACTGCTCCTGGGCCTGAACCCAGTAACCCATCATCTGCAGCTTGTGACACCATGTTGACTTTTTCTTCACTAGCTTCACTGTCATCTTTCTGTATTGCTTTTGCATTTGCAGGAGAGCTATTTGCTATTTCAGGGTGTTCCTCACTGCCACTTTTAAGTGTATCTGAGGAGCTTTTATGCTGCTCAATTGACTGTTGATTGACTGTGAAAGGAGGTTGAAGGCAATCCTGGGGATAAGTCACTACGCAGGAAGCAGTCTCAGGGCATAACAATGACACAACTTGGTCCATTTCAATCAAAACCCCATCAGTTGCTATTTCTATTGGCTGGTCAACATTACAGACTATTGATTCCTCTGAGGCAGATAAAGAGTGCGCCTCTACCTTGCTTTGGTTTTCTTTGGACATGCTTTCTTTCCCTACATTCTCTGACAAATTAGGTCCAGTCCCTTTGGAGAGTTCCATGTGACATTTTTCAGCGGTCTCATTTATCTGTTTACTTGTCTCTTCTTGAATTCCTTGTGGTTCTTGTCTGTCATTTGAAAAGGTGTCTTCTGCTTTCATAGTACCAATTTGGTTTTCAGTGCCTGAACAAGTTACTGCATGTTGTAGCTGCGTGAGCTGCTTTTCAGAACACAGTGTATGCTGTTTCTCTGTGTTTTGGGTGCCGTCTGGGAATTGCTCTGACAAATGCTTATTAAGCTGCTCCATCCTCCAGGCAGCTGTCTCGGATTCGGGAGTGGAATTAGGAGCATTGGGTTTTAATGCATCTTTAGAGGCCTGGTCCACACTTATCTCTTTTTCTTCTTTAATACTTTCCTCGAGAGCAGTGGCAGAAAAACGGGCTGTGTCACTGGAACACTGAGCATCAGAAGGCTGAAAAATTAACTCTTTCTCCTGCTGAAGCTGGGAAGGTTCTGCAGCAGACATCTGTGCAACTTCACTCACTGAATCAGGTCTGATCTCAGTGTTTCCAGTGTCTCCAGGGGTAACAAAGTCTAAATAATGCTCGTCTGTTTTAATTCCTTCTTCATAGTGTAAGACGCTGGGACTTGCAGAGAGCCCACTTGAGTGACTTACAGGAAGTTCTGCTCCTTTCTTAGTCGCAAGGGTTTTGTTCCACACATTTCCATACTCATCCGCACTGACCTGTGAATTGGAACAGTCTGCATGTTTATTCACACTTTCCTGTGATGCTGAGATGACAAACTGTTTAACCTCGAGAGCCTTTATAACTCTTTTGAATTCGGAAGTTTCAGATCCTGACACTGCATTCACAGGCAAGTTAGGAGCTGGTTGTGTTTGGGTTTCACTTAAAGTGCTCTCACCACAAACATGAGATTTCTCACCTCTTAGTTCTTTTGTTGGTATACTAAGATCTTCATTCTGTGGACAAATACTGTCAACATTAAAATCTCTGTGATGGCCCTCCACTAGTTCAGCACTCTCTGATGTGCTGTCTGGGGAACTTTTGGCCTCTGCACTACAATACACAGTCACTTTCTCCTGTTTTTCACTTGCATCAGCATCTGCATGATTATTGGTCTCAGCATTTTTTAATGCACAGCTTTTACCCAGACTTAACACTGCTTCTGGGGCACTGATAAACATTTGTTGCTGCTGGAGCTCTTGGGACTGTGGAAATGCCAAATCTGACTGTCTCAAAGCCACCGAAGTCTGATCAATGACTGGAAGAGATTTTTCAGTTGGTGGCCCACTGTGATCCACAGTCTTTTCTATAGTGCCTTTGAAGATTACACCAGAATCAGGCACAGAACTGGACAGAAATTTTCCTTTTGGAATAGTTTCATTTATTAGATTTTCTTCTGGTATTTCGAAGAGCTTCATTAATGTCTGGTTCTCTCCTCGAGTTTGATCCATATTTTCTTTTACACTCTCATCTTGTTTTTGAGAATTATTTGTGCATTCTTTACTGTCATTTTCTGTGATGGAATTCTCATGTTCTTGCACACATTCCTTGTTTTTTTCTTCACTCATTCCCTGCCTGAATGCTTCAGATAAATTTGTCTTTATTTTTACATTGTCTACAGACACACGTTGGACAGGTTCTTCAGACATACGTGTTCCAAGTTTGTCCTCTAAAGGCATCAGGAGAGAATCACATATGATGTCATCTTTAGGAGTTTGTTGTTTTATCAGTGTAATTTGGGAATGAAGCATTTTATCAGCACAGGGTACTTCAGAAGTATTTGTTTTTTCTCTGCTGTCTTTCAGCTCTCTAAAAGCCATTTCCTCTTGTTCCTTCCATCTGTCCTGCTCCATATTTTTCTGTTCATTTCCGTCTTCTTGAGAGATACTTTCTTCTTGTTTTGAGCTGGCTTTTTCTTGAGTATCTTTTGCACAGTTGTTGTTGTGCTCCTCTCTCTTTACTTGCCTACCTTCAGATGTGTCTTTATTAACAACTTCATCATCTGATATAACACTTGTAGGGGCTTTGCATGAATTATCCTCAAGTTTAGAATTTGCATTTGCTTTTCTCTTCTCTTCTCTAACAATCTTCAATTGCACAGTGTCGTTAAATTCTTCATTCTCTTTCATCTTCGTATTTCCAACAATATCTGGTTTCTTTGACATTAGCAGAGAACCACCTGCCTGTTCTGGTCTGTCAGTTGTGAGAAGAAGGGATCCAGATGATGCTGCAGTTTCCTGTGCAGAGGCACCAACAGTGTATGGCGGGTGATTGGCATTTTGTTTGCTTAACATGTCTTCGTTAGCATCTAGATTAGTTTTGTCTGCAATATTCTTTACAATCTCTGGGTCAGACTCACAAACGCATTTTACACTGCAATGCTCTCTAGTTTCTGCTACAGCAATATCACAATCACTAATAGACTCACAGTGACTCAGCATTGGGCCTGGAGCCTTTAGTACAATGACAGACACATCCCTGGCAACACTGTTAGTGCTTTGTGTGGTTGATGAGGAAAGATCCCTTTGTGCTGGCACTGTAATCTCCACTGCAGTAAGAGAGGGGACTGCTTCATCCTCAGCATCCATTCCATCACTTTTCATCATTTCAGCACTGAACTGTGATTCAGTCTGACATGGCTCAACATCTGCATACGTATCTACTTTTGGCAAAAGTGGCATCTCTGAGGTTTCAGTGGGCTGTTCGGTGGTAAAATTCTTGTCTTGATAAGTGCTGTCTGCGTCTAGGACTGCGGTTTGAGGCAATAAGCTGGTTTTTACCTCTGACCCCTCTTCACATGTGTATTTTGACTGCTTTCCTTGACTGTCATTCACAAGATTCTTTGAATTATTGGGAAATTTGGTTTCTATACCACCTGCTTCGGGTAATCCATATCCCTTTGTTTCATCTGTCTCTTCAATTTGGTTTATCTGTTCAACTTTTGCAGAGACAGCATTGTCAGCATGCACAAGATCTACAGCAAGGCTGCAATTATGACCCTCTTGTTCTGAAACATCCTGTAATAAAACACTATTCTTTTCAGAGGATGCTGACTCATTGTGACTGATTTGAGTTGTATTCAAAGCTTCTTTATATTCTTCCTCCTCTTTAATTGCTTTAATTTCCTCTCGAGTTTCATTACCCACATCCTTTGTTTCTGTAACACCGGCGGTCTCATCTGCAGTTGACAGTGATGAAAATTTAACAGGATTACTCTTGCTGGCATCAGGAGTTTCATCTGTCACTTTTCCACTTTCTTCACAACCACCCATATTTACATAAACATTTTCTTCAGGATTTACAGTAGCCTCACCCTGCTCCTGAGATGTTGTTTCTGTGCAGTTCTTCGGCTTTTCACTCTTTATTTCCTCTTGTTCCACTTTTGCTATTTGTTGACAATTTTCTTCCCCTTTACATTCTTCCTGAGATGTTTCATTTTTCACACTGGATTCCTCCTCTGCTATTGCATCCAGTACAGTAGTTCTTTGAGCCACCTCTGGTTCTGTCTGAGATGGAAGTTCTGCTTTGCTGATGCTGAGAAAACCTACAAAGTTGAAGCTAGCCTCTTTTACTGGATGACGCAAACTTTCAAATACCATGAGTGGGGGCAGAGAAGCACACTCAGTCATTTGGCATGTCAATGCAGCATCCTTTTGGTCCTTAAAAGAGCTCTGCAAACCTTTCGAAGGCAAATGCCCTTCCATTTTAGTACAACATCCAGTGATATCCCTCATGTTCTCTTGCAGATTAGTTGATTGAGATGTGTCTTCTCTTGTAAGAATTGTTTCTTGTTTTTGTTGCTGTGACTCAGTCTTGATGGATGTGTCACAGTTTGCGGATTTAGTTTGTAAAGCACTCTGTACCTGTTGATTGTTGGCTTGCACAGCAAGGCTTTCGCTTTTTGAAGAATTTGCTGGTGGAAGTAATAAATCACTGCCTGGCAGTTCTGCTCCTGATGCACTTGGGCTCGAATTCTGATTAGCCTTGTCCTCTCTCTGCGCTTCAGCCTCTGTAGAGTTTATGAGGGAAAGAGGAGGGGGTGGGCTGATGGAGTCGCAGTCGTTTATTCGATTGATGGTCAGAGGAAACAGGGCTGTGCCTGTTGTGACAGGATGGATGAAGTCACTCCTGTCTTCTGGTGCCGTTTGTGATGCTGTGATGCGATGGGATGGACACGTCTCTTTCACTGTCTCTGTCTGTGACACCCTGCCGGCATGTGCTGCGTTCTCTGCTCCGCCTTCGCTTGTCTCTTTCTCCTCCTTTTCACTCTCTCCTTTTTTCTCTTTTGATAGGGAACTCTCCACCTTCCAGTCACATGTCCCAAGGATGCCTGGAGAGGAACAGGTGACCGCTGCTTTATCTTCTGTGCTAACCGTGCCTGTATCCTTGTCTCCGGCTAGAAAGAGTGCAGTCGGCAGACCCCCTCCCTTTTTCTCGTTCTCCGTCGACTTCTTTGGGGCTATTTTATTGCCACAGCTCTCCTCTGTCGTCTCCTCTATCTGAACAGGTGAGCATTTAATCTTCGGAAAAATTAATAAGGTGCATTCTTGCCCCTCTTCAGCAGTAATTTCACTCAGCGTTCCCTCTGAGCTTGGAGACTCATCCGTGTCCAGCACTGCCGATTCTCTCTCTGCTGCTTGTACTATTATTGCGGCACTTTGAAATGCATCATCTCTCTTCTTCTCTCCCTCACTTTCTATCATTTCTGGCATTGTGGGTGTTGTTTGTAGCAATGTGGAGGCAGCGGACTCTGCTGAAGCCCGTTCAAGGGCACTCTCTTCCTCCTCCTCCTCTTCTGTACGAGCTCGGCTTGGAGAGTGTGAATTCCCCCACACTGGTGCGTGTGTGCCAGCTCCACCGCCTAAAAGAGGTCCATTCTCCTGTTCCGGTGGCTGTTTCTCTAAGTCACATCTCCCTTTGGGCTCATATTCAGAGTCTGTTTTAGCTTTGCAGAAATCAATCACAACAGCAGATGCATCAGACACATTTTTCTCATGTTTGACTTCCCCGGTGGTACAGTGGTATATGGTTTCAACTACTGATATTGATTTGTAGGGTCCATCTGTCTGATCCTGGTCATCATGTTGCTGAAGCCCCTGCAGAGGGTGTAGTATTTTGGCTGAAAGATTATCAGCCAGAGTAAGATGAGCTTGGTGAACCTCGAGTACTGATGGTGGGGACCACATCAATTGTTTATCCTCACGACACAGCTGTTCTGGAAGTTGTAATTCCTGTTTTTGATTCTCAAGGCTTGATCCTACATTTGTCTTTGTTTTTATCTCTTCACTTATCTGTTGCCGTGTCCCTGACTCCACCTGTTTCTGTATGTTTGGTTGTACACTTATTTTAGCTTCTGAATCCCACGTGTCACCAGCATGTTTATCCATATGCGTGGACGGACATGGCAGTAAATCACTAATCATCTGACTATGCATCTCTGCATTTTCAATCATCTGTGTAGCTGTTGCAGAATTGATGACATATTTGTTCACAAGATTTGCCTCTTTAATAGCCACTGTTTCACTGAGTCCTACAACATCATCCAGAGAGCATTTCGAATTGCAGGCATCTTGTATTGATTGATCTGGGGTAAGTGCTTCCTTTGCTACATCCTTCTCTGATGCTGTTTGTGTACCTGTCCATGTGCTATGTGTTGTTTGTTGAACAGCTATGCTCTCAGCTGTGTCTATTTTTGGCTCAATAATTGACTTTGTTTGCTGTTCTGCCTCTGACAGCTGGCTAGATTCTTCTCTTGGGTTTTCTGTTATATTCTTGATGTTTCTGACATCCTTAGATTCAGCTGTACACATATTTCCTAGATCCTTTCCTAAAACATAATCTCTGAAGCTAAACACCCCCTCTTCACCTGCTGTTGAGTCATTTGTGTGTGCTCCATCATTTCCATGGCAACCTTGATGAAATTCAGCAAGTTTATGTGAAGATGAATCAAATGAATCCTCTTTTACTTCAGACATTTTAGTTTGTTCAGTTTTCTCATCCCTTCCGGGCAGGACTAAGGGAAAACACTTGTTCAGATCACCTGCAGTCCATGTGTCAATAATGGAGGATTTGCCAAGAGCTGCCATTTCATCTTCACATTCCTTAAAGGCTTCCTGGAGTTCATAATCTACTCGGACTAAAGGATTGAGAGACGGAACATCTTGCTGAGGTGTACTAGGCAAGTGAACCTGGGTCAGTGATGCAGATTCAGTAGAAACTTGGTCACCATCGCAGCTATCACCGATCATCAAAAAAGAGATATTATAATTAATTTCCTCTGAGAAACTTTCAGTTGTTCATTCCACACCAAACCAAAGCAATCCAGTCCAACTCATGCCAGAGACAGGATGAGAAGCCATGCACACAACAAACTAAGTGCTTTGAAAGCAGAAGAAACCAAACACGCACAACATTTCCTAATGAATATTTTGTAAACGTGATAAAAGGGAAATCTAAACTCATACATTCATTCATTTTGTTTTAGTCCCTTTTTTATCTAAGGGTCGCCACAGTGGAATAAACCGCCAACTTATCCAGCATATGTTTTACGGAAGCTCTTCCAGCTATAACCCATCATTGGGAAACATCCATACACACTAATTTACAGACATATACTACAGACATTTACCCAATTCACCTATACCACATGTTTTTGGACTTTTGGGAGAAACCTGAGCACCCGGAGGAAACCTACACAAAACTGAGGAGAACATGCAAACTCCACACAGAAATGTCAACTAACCCAGCTGGGGCTTGAACCAGCGACCTTCTTGTTGTGAGGCGATTGTGCTACACACTGCACCACCATGCAGCCAAGCTAAATTGCATGAGACTTTTTTTACCAATCATACCTTGAATTAATATTTTATTTCCAAGCTGAGTATGATAAAATTTTGTTTTCTTTCAAACATAACAAAATGTAGTGCATTAATTCATTGAATTAAAGCTATAGTTTACCTTAAACTGAAAAATTCTGTCATCATTTGTCCATTCATCGTGTTCAGTTTATTTTCTTCAGCTAAACACAAAATAAACTATTTTTGAAGAAAGCTGAAAACCAGAAAATGTCTTTCATAGTCTTTTTTTCCCTACTATGTATGTCAGCAGTTTTACAGTGATTTACAGCTTTCTTCCCAATATCTTTTTTTGTATTCAACAGGATAAAGAAACAGGATAAATAAAGGTTTGGAACTACTTAACAGCCCCTAACCTGATTTCACCAAGTAGGACATGTTCTTGTATCAACATTTATGATGATCCTGAAAAAAACCATTTCCAGCCAATCAGAATTATGAGATACTTTTATCGTTTATGTTAGGTTTAGACTTACGGTTAGATTTATGCACTTCTACATGAGTGGTATCCAACTATTATTTCCCTCTGATTTGGGATTAATTTACAGTTATGGTTGGGTTTAAGAGTAGGGAATAGGTATGGATTACATTTAAATGATGTTCCAGGATCAACATAGATGTTAACCCAGAATCGCATCGTACTTGGCAAAATCATGACGTGCACTTGAGGACTAGTAAATATTGTGCATAGTTTAAAATCTTCAGAATTATTTTATATACTCACAATAAGCTGACCATCAAGTGGTTCTAAACCTTAATATGTTTCTTTTTCTGTTGAACACAAATGATGGCATTTTAATTAGTGTTGGTAAAAGAAGTCATTGACTTCCACTGTACAAAAAAAATAAAAAAATACAAACGCTTGAAAGCATATTTTGTTTTCATCAGAAGAGAAAAGTAACATGCAATTTTCTAAGAGATTATAACAAGATGCTGAAAAATTATTGTAATTTTAAAAAGCTAAAATGAGAACATTTGCCAAGAGAAAGCCAAGAATGTCATAGCCTGAAGTCATGCTACATTTAAGAACAAGGTTAATGCATATACAGTTGAAATCAGAATTATTAAACCCCCTTTGATTTTTTTTTTTCTTTTTTAAATATTTCCCAAATAATGTTAACAGAGCAAAAAAAATTCACAGTACAGTATGTCTGATAACATTTTTCTCTTCTGGAGAAATTCTTATTTGTTTTATTTCTGCTAGAATAAAAGCAGTTTTGTTTTTTTTAAAGCATGTTAAGGTCAATATTATTAGCTAATTTAAGCTATATATTTTTCAATTATCTACAGAACAAACCATCATTCTACAATAACTTGCCTAATTAACCCAATTAACCTAGTTAAGCCTTTAAATGTCACTTTATAAGCTGTATAGAAGTGTCTTGAAAAATATCTAGTAAAATATTATTCACTGTTATCATGGAAAAGATTAAATAAATAAGTTTTTAGAAATGAGTTTTAAAACTATTATGTTTAGAAATGTGTTGAAAAAAAAATCTTCTCTCCGTTAAACAGAAATTGGGAAAAAAAATAAGGGGACTAATAATTCAGGGGGGTTAATAATTCTGACGTCAACTGTACGTATAACAGATAAGCACTAGCCAAAATGCTTCTAACAACCCTATTAGAGCACACATTAAACAGCCTGGTGAATCATAGATAGTGACTCTGTTTAATACGTTTTAGAAGCTGAAACATAGTCAGTGGCTATACTGTTGCAATAAAGTAGCTACAGTTGATCTAATATGACAACCATGCTTTCCACACACTGCCTCTCTCACCTTAGCATGCCTCCAGGGGAATTACTAGAACAGAGACAGCTTAGCTAACTCCTTTTCTTGCCTGTCATTTTAGACTAAAAATCTATCAATCACCTTCACCTCAAATGGAAATAAATGAAAGAGCAAAGACTCATGTGTTTCCTGATTGGACCACAGCGATCATGTGATCTGCCAGCTAGCTGATAAAAATGACAACAGGCTCAACCACGCAGCCTTTTTATTTTTTTTTAGTAAATGATTATGACTGGAAGCTGCCACTCCCATTTGTTTTATAACCCTTCTCTGGCATAACTGGAACATCAGACAGCTGTGTTGCAGTTTAAGATACAGCAATTATGCTTGCATGTACTAAAAACCAGAGGCCTTTTGGCATACAGTGTGTGTGCATGAGTAACAGAACTGCAGCCACTCCCTACTGTGTTTCAATACCCACAATCCTCTGTCCTCGCAGATGGTATATAATAATATTAACAACATAAATAGCATAAACACACTGAGTTTAGTTTGACATGACGAGCCATACTTGAGAGAAGCTAACCTTAGATATGCCCTTAAAACATGTCAACTATGAATGGAGATTGCATCTGTCTGTGTCAGCACAAGCCTATGCAATTGCAACCAGATGCGATAATGTGTTGATAACTCTCTCAACACGAAAAAAACTGAACACTGACACAAAACATACACACAAACCACATTCAAGCATGGCTTCCAGTTAAGGAGGACATCTCTCACGCTGCACATTAATATCTTGTGGTAAACCAATATCTTTCTTCTCATGCAAGGATGTTAAAAGCACTTCCAGCCTCCCAAACAAAAACCAACCAAGTGCTAGTTTAGTTCACAGCAAACCAACTCGATGAACTCGATGAAGCCAAACAGACCACCATCGCAGCTATCACAGCTTGTGTAAATATATTTTTTACTTGTGAAGAAGTTGTTCTGCTATATATTTTACATATAAGTATATGTAAAAGAGAATATGTTTCTGCGTTGTGCTTTGTATTTATCATTGAAGCATTGTTTCTCCTTGTAAACTACATAGAAATACATTCCCAAAATATTAACCCTTACTGAAAAACCACGTGTGCATTTTAAAATCATATGTGAAACATGTGCTCACACATTAAACTGTGGTTTAGAACATTTTTATGGTAAAGGGATCAGATGTTTTCACAAGTATCCACATTTGTTTAGATGTGAGCATATGGGTTTCACTCAAAAAAGGTTATTTCACATTTATTTAGCATATTTCATGTGGGATTTTTAACACGATTGCACATATGAAACTCATGCAAAGATCATGTAGTTTTTCTATAAGGATTGAGAAAAATGTAAATGCTTTTTTTAATTGACAGTTAAATTCACTGATAAAATTATACAAACAAAAATGTTGCACAAACTCTGTTCAAGTTAGAAAGAAAATGTATATAGCATGAATTTATGTTTCTGGAGAAAGATATGATTTGGTTTTATTTATTTTTCATTGTATAAAGTTAAGTTAATACTTTAAACCATTAATAAAAATATAAAAAATAATATTTGTAATCTAGATTTATAAAATGCATGCTGTTTTATTTATAATTTGCCAAAAAAAATAATAATTTTATACTGGACAATATATTTCAAGTGTAGCTGAAATGCAACTAAAAAGCTTTAAAAAGTTTACAAGTTTTGTACATATTAGTACAAAACATTTACACTGCACACTTCAAAAATCACACCCAAAACACAAAATGGAGCTAAAGAGATCTCACATAAAATATATCCATGATTAAACTTTTTGTAAATTATCTATGTCTGTCTCTTATGCCATAACAGACTAGTATCTCTCTATCTCCATTTTCATTATTCCTCTGTTACCTCTTCATGAGGCCCACTACTGGTGAACTGGCCTCCATGTAATGCTCTAGGCCTGCCAGCAGAGGGTTGGCAGTGCCACCCAGTGCCACAGTCTCATTCTTCATATCACCCAAGCTCACCTGCTCACTATACACACACACATACATACATACAGGTATAGAAATTATTATTTCCCTATACTCGTAAAACAATTTAAATTACCATTGTGTATGAAATGTGCTATATTGTATAGATAAACTTGCGTTGCCTAATAAGTCCAGTAATAAGTGATGCATCTTATAAAGTATTTTGTGATAAATTGGTCACACTTTACAATAAGGTTTATTAGTTAATTAATGCATGTACTAACATGAACAAACAATGAACAATACATTTACAACTGTATTTGTTCATGTTAGTTAACGTTAATTAATGAAAATACAGTAGCTCATTGTTAGTTTGTTAACTCATGGTGCATTAACTAATGTTAACAACCATGGACTTGGATGTTAATAATGAATTAGTAAATGTTCAATTATGATTAATAAATGCTGTACATGTGTTGTTCATGATTAGTTCATGTTAGTAAATGCATTAACTAATGAACCTTATTGTAAAGTGTTACCGATACATTTACTAATAAAATTACTTTAATAGTAATGAAATTACCTGGAAATTTCTACCAAATTCCTGTCATAGCTCTAAATAGTTTTGATTAAGTATTGCTCCATTACACTGAAAAAGACAGAATCCATAAAACAGTTCATATTTAATATTAAAATCATATAAAATAAAATATAAATGTCTGAAAATAAACCTTTGATAAAAGCATTTTGAAAGTCATTGGAGTGTTTCTAGACTCTACCACCTTACGTTGGCAAGAGTTGAGGCTCTTTTGTGGGCCTGCCAATTGTCCATTCAGTCAAGTTTTCCACAGGAATGAGTCAGAGATTAATGGAAAATATCCCTAGCCAAGCAAGTACATAGAAAGATCTTCAAAGAAAAAGTCCTGTGATTTGCTTTGATTGTGAAACACTATGAGATGAGATATAATCAAGAAAGTGTCAGAGTTTGATCCAATCTGTGGCTTCCAGTTTCAAGATTTACAGTATATGAATGTTTGTAATAGACAATTCATGGCACCTTAAAAATTATTTCAGCAAAATTCTAATAATCATGTAATACATTTTAATAAGCTGCTCAACCCTGTTCCTGGAGATCTACCTTCCTGCAAAGTTCAGCTTGAACCCTGATCAAATACACCTGAAACAATTTAATTAGGACCTGAACAGCACTTGATAATTACAGGCAGGTGTGGTTGAAATGGGTAGCAACTGAAATCTGCAGGAAAGTAGATCTCCAGGAACAGGGTTGAACACCCCTGATGTACACTGTAAAAAAATTATAAGATCAAATATCTATGGCAGCATAATTTTATAAGTTACAATATACTAAAAACATAAGTTAGAACATTATTACCTTGGTTATTGATTTGCCTAAAAAATTGAGGCAACCAGGATTTTTTACAGTGTACTCACCTTAAAGTTTTTCCAAACCTGTTTGAGACATTTCTGGAAAAATATTTGCTCTTGAAAGTCATTCAAGTTTGGATATGATGCAATCTCGCAAATTCTATTTTTTTTTTCTTGCTAGTTTTTTATCTTACATTTGACAATTTTAGCTTTTTACCTCAAATCAATGATGTGCTTCATTCATTCATTTTCTTTTTAGCTTAGTCCCTTATTTATCAGGGGTCACCACAGCGGAATGAACCACCAACTACTACGGCATATGTTTTATGCAACGGATGCCCTTCCAGCCATAAGCCAGAACTGGGATACACCCATACACGAAATTATGTGCTTGTTTCACTAAACTAAGGTATAATCAAAACGTAGCAAATATCTGAGATAATTATCTTTTTTTATCCCTAAATTGAGTTTAGAATTTGTGATTCTATGAAATATTAATAAAATGCGATTCAGGGTTAGAATTTCAAGAATAAAAAAGTCGGACTCGTGAAATATAAACTCAGAATAACAAGATTTAAACCCAGAATGAAATCTCACAAATTTATCTTCAGAGTTAGAATTTTGGAAAAAAATGTCAGATTTTTTAAAAACATAAACTCATAAATTGCAGGATTTAAAAAAAGTGTCATAAGATGTAAAATTAAACTTAAATAAAAGGCTTATTATTGCACAGTTTTGACTTATATCACACTATTCTAATATCTCATGACTCATGAGACTCTTCTGTGAGTAGAACATTAACTCAATCATCTTTCAAAAAAAAAATGTTATCCATATCAGAGAGCCACTTCAATTTTCTCTAAAATGCAAAACCTACAAACAAAAGTTTTCGTTTACCTGTACACATGTATGCAAAACATAACTGACAGGCAGAAAAATTTGCATCAGATGTGAACAACTTTTCAAAAGAATCTACCGTCCTGTTGTAACTTGCCCGTTGCCAAGATTCAGTTGATAAACCTATACACCTCAGTGCATCACTCTTAAGGAAATACAGTAAGTGTGGGTGTGTGTGTGTGTTTATCTGTGTGTCTGTGCCTGAGTCTTTGTGTAAAACAATCAAATGTTGAGACATACCCAAGTGTGGTTCCCCAGGTGAGATTGAGCTCAGTACTGAGGTCGAGGTCTAAGCTGGGCAGCAGATCATGAGGAAACTCCAGCTCCTCTTTATCCTCCTCTCCTTGTCTTCCAGGCTTCTCTTCCTCGTCAGCAGTCACCTGTGTCTCCGCTGTGATGGACTCAGGGTGGACAGATCCGTTCTCAGTGGCGGCAGATTTCTCCTTCGGCGGGCTCACCTTGTCAGTGTGGACTGCAGCCTGAGAAACACAATAAATGGAGTTAGAGCTCAGACCACAGCAATCTGTTTTTAATCAGCTCTGTAAATCACTCACAGCAGCTGCACACACCAAAATGGCTCACTTGCCACTTGGAGAACAAGTTGTTTAAACCAAGATTAGGTTTCTTTAAGTATACAGGGTTTGACATTTAACATCAAAGAAAATACACCTACCATGACAATAAAAACCCAGAGGTGATTTTGACAGCACACCCTAATCATTTATCATTGTGCCATTTGTACTTTCAGAAAACTCTTTAAAAAAATAAACATGCTTTCAGCGAATCCACCATTTCAGCTGGGCCCTGAGGATCAGTTCAGACATGCTCATTTCCCCGAGAACAGGCTTGTGATTAGACCACATTCGATATAAAGCCAAAAAAGTATTTTAAAGTCTTAAGTTATATCATGTCACAAGTGTCATTGCAATTTTGATCAAATTTTAATTTGAAATGAAATGGCATCCAAACGGCATCTTTCCGGAGCCAAAAAAGGAAGAAAAGCAGAGGAAGAAAAGGAAGCTCAAGGTAAGTTCTGCTATGCATAATACATTATTTAGTAGTGTATTAGGACTTGTTTTAATAAATGCAATGATGCCCAAATAGGCCACATTCAGCATGTTTTATTAAATAATCTATTAATTATCTATCAGGTTTCCCCCTCATTTTGTCAAAATCGAATTTTACTGACTGTCCAACATCTAATGCAATGTTTTGTTTGTGTAAATCTCTGTGTAAAAACAAGCTAAAATGTCTCCTGCATTTCTAGTTAGTTATGCATGTATTTGCATTATATTATTTTACAAAAAAAATGCATTTGATTCATGCTTTATTTGTATAGGTCATACTTTACTTTATTCAGTGTTTTCTGGCTTTATCCAAGTAAATCTAAGTAAATATTTGTACATGTGTATTATAGGTTAAACATGTTACAGTTAATAAAAATGTATACATTTAAATATTTAAATAGTATTTTTTGTGCTTTCTTCTCACTGTTTTTACACAAGTGGGCCCAATTTTTTTTATCTCGTCTATGGGCCCTCAAGCCTACCGGCCAGCACTGGATATGAATAAGAATTTTATGCATGCTTATGAAAACTGTTATTAAGTGTCATTTGCTCAGTTATGTCATTTTAAATGTTATGGTGACATTGTCTTTGTTATGACAATTTGGCATAAACAAATATATCATAATCTGTCTTTTATGACAACTTGGCACTACCAAGACAAAACCTGTCATAGATCTGTCATAAAATATTTGTCATTAGTATTTTTCTTGACCTCAACTAGAGTGGTTCAAATTGATACGTAATTAAATGTTAAAGACACTGTTATAAAATTATTTTTACAGAGTACTGACATTTTAAATGATTCAAGAGTTCACACTAAGCTGATGATTGATTATAAAGCATGTTTGGCATGCTGTTCTGGGAGAGAGCCCTGAGTTCATAAGATCCTTGAGCCCAGGGCTCCCTCCCGTTTGCAGGGCAAGAGGGGAGTTTGAGCTCAGGTAGATCTCGAGAACTCCCCTGCTTGTGTATGGCAAATGCAAATTAGGAATTACTATGGAGAGATATATTGCTGATTAAGCTCTCATCTATGGTGTCGATTTGGTTTGGTCAATTTACTTATGTTATGTCTTTGGCCAGTGGGAGGAAACCGAAGGGCCCGGGGGAAAACCACACAAACATATAATATTAACTTGTATATTAACTAACAAAAATATTAACTTGGCCGGGTAAAGACATGAACCAGTGACATTCTTGATGCGAGGCAACAGTGCTTACCACTGGGCCACCGTGCCGCCCTGTCAAGGAGAAGCGGAGGAGTGGGGGTGGAATGGGGGATTCTTCAAGACGAAGATGGCTAAGGTAAGCTGCTCTAGTTATGTATAGCTATTTAGAAATCATCTGATCATTAGTTAATGCAGGACCTGCCGCAGTCAATCATATGTTTAATTCACTGCTAAATGCCATTCCTTTGTAATTACTTATTAAATAAATGAATAAATGTTCCCTTTTTCAATAAAAATATAAAGATGCCATTTCCACTTTGAATAACATTTTGTAAAATGGATATTAAAATGTTTTTTTAATCATTAATGTCATTAAAAGAAATCTGTATTTTTCAGAGTATTCACCAGTTTTTTGTCTATATTTTTAGTAGCTGTGCACACCTATTGTTTCGTTGCAAATGAGGCTAAATGAGTGATTGTTCTGCCTTTACAGGTTTTACAACTCTCCTCTCCAAATGAAATAGGATAGCTGAACTAGTTGCCACAGTTTAAACACTGAATGCATTCTCAAGCGTTTTGAATTGTTACAAATCTTAGTTATTGTTTGTGATATTTAAAAACTAATTCTAAATAAAAATTGCATCAATTTATTTTTTGTGTACATCACTATTAAAATATGTTATTTTTATTTCAGAAAAATATGTTCTGAAATATAAAAAAATGTAAATTATCAGCATACATATTTACATTTTATTTTGGCAAATTACAAATTATAAAGCATACTTGTGAATTTTGGAAAATATACTGTAATTGTCAAAATGATCTATATTTATTTTATGCCCAAAATTATTATAATATTTAGAAAAGATCAAGCAAAGAACTCTAAAGGTGGTTTCCTCGATATTTAGATTTTTTGAACCCTCAAATTCCAGATTTTATAAATATCACCTGATCCAAACAAAAAATACATTAATGAAAAGATCATTTAAAAATATCGCTTGATCCAAACAAATATATAAATAGAAATATCGCCAGATCCAAACAAACCATACATCAACGAAAAGATAATTTATTTAGTTTATTCAGATGATCTATAAATAAAAGTTTCCAAAAACTGACCCTTATGACTGATTTTGTGGTCCAGGGTCACATTTATTTAAAATCCTGATGTTATTTTTAAAAAAGTGACATCACAGAAATTACATCACAATTAGAGATACGATATGCTATCTTTCAAACTTTCATTTGCATAACAAACACTCTGATTTAGAGTAAGAGAGAACCAAATCCCTCGAAAGCACAGACTGATCTCAACCACACACACTCATTGATCAACACACTATGATTCACAGGCAAGTCCTTGTGCCGCAGCAGCAGATCATGTTGCAGGCACTCTGAACACAAGTCCCATTAGAGGTGCATTACAAAGGAGTTCCACGTCCTTTACCCATGCTTTTTTAGCATCTTTGACCCCAGCACACATATCTAATGCACGCAATACACACATGCATTCTTACCTTTACCAGAGGTTATGTGTTGTACTTTCTCAAAGCTGTAATGCACTGATCTACATTTCCAGGCCATTGTAAAGACAAACACCACTCAGTTTAAATCAGGTCAGAGTATCAAATGAAACTCTTCAATACATGTCCAGACAAAGTCAAAGGTTCCGATTCCATTTGCTTATTCAGACATTTAATTTGTGAAACAAACACAAGGGTTTCACATTTCATCAGCATTCGGTTGTGACAGATAACTGGGGTTTTGACAGAAAACGGCAAAACCCCTGAAGAACGGGATGCACTTCACACACCGGTGAACAATCACTGTACTGTATCGAAGTCTCCCAAAAGCTCTCTCCCACAGAGACTCAAATCAAAATTAAGACTCATTGTCTGTTAAACTACTCCAGGACTCGCCATTCTTACCTTGTATTTTATAGAAATTTCAAACATTCAAATATAGGCAAATGATGTCTTAAACCACAAGTAAAAATATGTTTGTATACACTATAATTAATGTTATGAATTAATATTAATTCATGTATTCATTCATTCATTCATTCAGGCCTATCAAAAACTACATTATAATAATTTAAGGGCAATGTGTGGAATTTAAGTGGAATCTATGGAATCTTGTTTTAGTCAAAAAATAATTGTGACTATGACAAAATTGTGATGTTTTTTGACTAAATTGAAGTTTATATCAGGACATTTATATCACATTATTGACAGAGACATTTTAAATATAACATCAGTTGTGATAAAATATCAGAACAAAAAGGTATAATAATATTAACTTTCTCATTTTATTTGCTTAAATATTACTTAATAACATTTAGTAGCATTGTACTATTGTTATAATTAATAGCTTAACTTGAGATAAGACACTGGTTTAAATACATTGGAAACACAATGGAGTATACATACAGTGCCCAGCATGAGTACACTCCATTTTGAAAATTAGTATTTTTTATGCATTTCTCAATGAATGTGGGTAATACATATTGGTGCATTTGAACAAAACAGATTTATTAATCATATATATTTATTAAAATAATATTTTAGTCGCAGAACAGCTTTAGAAATGCAAAGATAATCAATTTAAATTCATGCAAAATACTGCACAAAAATGCAAACTACAACATTTCAACAAAAGTGTATATATTTGTTTTGTGATGCTAATTTCAAGCATAATTGTAAATTATTTTGTTAGATTAGCTCCAGATTTGGCTTCAGTACTGACTAAACTAAAGTATATGCACAAATATAATATTGTAAAGCATCCTATAGAAAATATTTATTTAAATGAGAGATATGCGGGTGGAGAGCACTGTATATATAGTAATCGATGTCAATTCTACATCCGATAAAGGAGTAATTAATTGCTAATGCTTTTTTTACACAACAATGCTTTATATAACACATAAGCAAACCCAAATCAATAGCACAGATCAAACACTTTCAACCCTGATCATAAAAAATGACTTTTGTCTCCCTTTAACTGTACACGCTGTAAGACAATATTTATTCACACCTACACTTGAGTGTAATAGAATGATACCACATTTTATCTGCTTATTATATCATTTTTCATGGTTGGTTTCATGTTCCCCAACTTCCTGTTTCCTGTCTATGCTGTAAACCTCTACTTAAACCCTAAAACCTTCAATGAACCTTAAGCACCTTAAAAAATATTAACACTCACTGAGCTACATTTGACAGTGTGTGTAATATTTAAACTTAG